GATGAACCCAAAGCAGAGAGGATCGGATGCCACCGTCCCCCGCCCCCCATGAGAGGCGACGGGAAGCTGTTCCGATCTGCCTCCCGAGAGACCGGAGGAACCCGGAGGAGGGCAGCCGCAACAAGAGAGGCCGCCGAACCACACACGGCCCCTGCTCCCCCACCTCGTAGCCATAAGGAGGGCGACAACGACAACGGTCTAGGGGGAAGTACGTATTCACCTGGCCTGCACAACTGGCCACGGATGTCAAACAGAGTCTGTCTAATCGGGAAATCTGTATTAGCGGCTTGGTAGGTTTTGCTGCAAGAGGCCAGAGAGGAGCCCAACTAAACGTCCGGACACGGAAAGGCCTTGTCAGAGAGAGAAATGAGTCAGCGGTGCCTCGTGGAAAAGATGAGAGGCTGGATCAGCAGGAGGGGGTGTGTGGAGGGGGGGAGAAACCACACCGGGAACTCTATGCAAGGTCCATTGTGTCATCCTCCCCACGCCGTGAGCACACGTTCTTTCCATGGTTTCCGACAGTTGTCCTTAACCACAAGAGCTCGCCAGCGGCACCCAAATGAGGTTCTCAGATTTTGCCTGGCCAGCTGTTTCTGACAATGTGCAGAGTGGCCAAGGCGGGGGGGGGGGCACCAGCCAGAAGCCGGGGCCTTGCCTGGCTTAGAAAAGGGGAAGCTCGTCTGGGTAAGGCAGGCGAGCCCTCCGCTAGCGAGCCAGAGCTGAATCTCATGCCCCATCTCCCGGGCTCCCTCTTAGCGCGCCTGTGCATTGCGCAGAGGATTCCACTCCATCCAGATCTAGGTCAAGCCCGCACACCTCCTGCTAAGCTCTGCTCAAAGCAATCTGCGCTCGCTCCATGGGTTGGCTCATGTACCATGGGCTGTTATGGTCTCCCTGAAGAGGCAATCACACACACAACCACACACCCTATCCATGGCGCCCCTGTGCTCATGTCCTCGCGAGTGCCTCCATGGCTCACAGCCTCTCTCAGGAACACATCTAACGCCTCCCCACCCCATCACCCCCAGTTCCTCCAGGTAAAGCACAGGTCATGCACTGCCAGCCAGACTATAAGCCACCTTCCAGCTAGAGCTCCAACAGGCAGGGCTGCAACCCACAGGGAAAGCTTGAGCCTCCTTTCCAGCGCCCCCCCCCCTTTCTCCTGGGACTCTGCTTGAGCAAGAGCATCCAGCAAAACCGCCCCACAGCTTTCTGGGGAAGAAGGGCAGAGGGCAGCAGGGGAACCTGGCTCCACCCTGGCGGGATCTCCAAGGTCTCCCTGCAGGACCAAAGCCGACCAGGGCGCCACAAGAGGAGATCCCCCCCCCCAAGAGACCTCCGTCCCTGAACTCCGACACCGTTGCCTGCCAAGCCCCCACACCCATTTCCATGCAAAAAGGGGGTGGAGGGAACAGAAGCACAGTGGTGAGAAGCACATGGAAGGTCATGGGAAGCTTGCCTCTCTTCCCCCCTCCCTGTTGTTCTCCATCGCACAACACAGTCCCAAAGTTCAACCTTGGCAGGCCGAGCGCGGGGCTCTTGGTGCCTCGTGGGCCAAAATCCAGCCAAGGCACAAACAGAAGCCGGAGGGGAGCAAAGCCGCCATTCCCTCTGGCACAAAGGCTCTGCTAAGCTTCCTTGTACTCGGAATCGGTACCACACAGAGCAGCGGCTCCAGGGGATTTGGGGTCAGAAGAAGCCCACCCCACAGAACAGGCCGCGGGGCGAAGGCCTCAGGGCCCCGGCAGGAACCAAGGGAGGGAGGGAGCCTGGACACCCACATTCGCCCCTCAAGGACACCCGAGCTGTGGGGAGAGGGACCGGGAGGTCACATCTGAAGACCCACCGTCTTGGCAGGACCCTCGTGCCCAGCCCAAAATACCCAGGGAACAGACCAATGCAGAAGCAGCAGCTAAAGTGTCTTCCCCCTCCCCGCCTTGCCTTTTTCCAGACGGGCCAACTGCAGTGGCCAGCAGGACTCCAGAGAGCAGAAGGAGGAGCCCTGCTTCTCTAGCCACTGGCATTCTGAGGCACCTTCAACCAGCAGAGCCCCACCCACCCCCCAACCGCTGATCATCACCACCAGGTCCCTGCCTGGGGCTTTCCTGATCAAGTGCCACCCTGCTCCCTTCCTCACCCCTGGCAGCACTTCAGGAAAGTGGGTCTGGCTGAATTTGGGGGACATCACCTCTGACGCCAGCAGCCGTGGGCAGGCACGATCCCCCCCCCCGAGGTCCAGGCGAAAGTTCCCTCGCATCCAGGCCCACCCCCAAGGCCGGACTCACCTCGTCGGACTCGTCGGACAAGGTCTTCAACAGAATGGGAAACAGGCTGTCCGTGTGCCGGAACATCTGGAACCAGAAAGAGGCCACTGCTGGAGGAGGGAGCGAGCCAACGCAACCCTTGCCCTCTCCTGCACCGACCCCAAAGGCTACCGTCCCCATTAAACAGAGTCTGTGGTCCCCCTGAGATGGAACCCCCCCCCACTTCCCTAGAAGTTCGTCCCAGGGAATCCTGCAGCAAACCGGCCAAAGGCACCCACAGGCGACAGAAAGATCCCCTTCTGCTTGATCGCAAAGCTAGGCACCCCCATCTCACGACTGCCAAGGTGACGGCATGAAACGATTCCGGCTTCTACACCTCACTAAATATACAAACAATTACACTAAGAGAGAACAAAGAATTTGCCTAGACCATCCATCCCCCACGTTTTCCCAAAGAGAACTTTGCGCAAAAGGCTGGCCGGAAGCCCAATGAATCCCACACAGATTCGGGATCAAGGCTTCCTTTCCAACTCGGCAAGACTAACTTCTCTGCTCCTCCGCAGTCGCAGGGGTTTCGGGGGGGGGTATCCCCTCTAGGGTGAATGGAGGGCAAAGCCCTCCTGCCAGGAAGGACAGGAAGCGCACTGAGCTTAGTGGCACCACCCTCTCTGTTTTGACTTCCAAAGTGCCCTGGCCGGGGGGGGGGAAGCATGTGCTTCTGAGGCTGTTTGGCTGAGCCCACCACCCCCGCCAAACTGACAGCTCTTATGGGGCAGGTCACCTTGCTGAGTCCTCTGCCCCCAATGACTGGGGCAACCCCAAGCCCCTTTACCTGCTACCCAGCAGGCCTTCCCAGCTGCTCCCTGTGACCTCCGGATGGACAAAGGGCTGCAGCGTCCATGAGAAGCGATGCCTTTGCTCCAAACGCATCGGGGGGGGGGGAGAAGCAGAGCTTGGGGAACGGGGGGCTCCCTCCGTTCTAGACCCAGGCTCCCCTGCCTGGTCACTGGCAGTGTGGGATCGCTGGCAGGGCTCCAGGCACAGAAAGGTCTTCTCTGGCTTGCAAAGGATGGCCGGGCGGTCACACCAGGGTGTGTGTGTGTGTGTGTGTGTCACACGGAGAGATACCCTGCTTGGACGCCACGTCAGTCAGTCAGTCAGTCAGTCAGTCACACTGAGAGATACCCTGCTTGGATGCCACAAAATGAGGTGCCAGGCACAAGGGAAAGGCAGACCCCTGGCAGGGCTGTGAGCCTTTCTGAGGAGTTCCTACAGAAACAGTGCCTGCCGTCTTTGCTGAGGGAAACTCTGCAGCTGCCAGAAGTCGCCGGAGCCAATCTAAGACTCAACTTTGGGGTCTCCCTGAGCCTCCCATTGCCTCAGCTCCCCACAACCACCACCAACACCACCAATGGCAGCTGCTGCAGGAACCCACAGACGGGGCTGCTGCGCGACCGCTGGCCGGCGCTGATCCCAGGGCGGACTCGCCTTGCGAGGGGTCTTGATGTACAAGTGGTAGAGCCACTTCAGGACCGCAATCCGTGTCATCATCCCAATGGTTGAGTCGTGAAGGTGGCAGTCCAAAACCTGGACGATGCCATCAAGGTTCAGGGTCACCTGGATTCTCTCCGTACTACAAGAAAACAGAAACGTGAGTCAGAAGACCCCGTGCGAGGTGCCTGGAGGCTGTTGTGAGGAAGAGGTTGGTCCGCTTCAGAGGCGACTTCGCCGGACCCTCCCCTTCAAAGCCCTGGATGGAGGAGCTGAGCCGCAAACCGCTCCCATCAAGACCCACCTCGCCTCGTGGCGAGAAAAGAAGAAGAAGAAAAGAGAAGCTTTCCTGCTGCCACCCCCCCATCACCTTCACCCATCTTGTATCCCATCTCCAGAGCGCATCACCAAGTGAAAATGCAGCAGGCGATGCGGTTAATATTCCATGAAACATATCATCACATTAAAAGCCCTGCTGCATTAGAAGACTTTAAAAGCCCATTAAATAAAGGAGTGGCCAAAGGTACAGACACCCTCATCAGAAGCCCCTCCAAAAAAAGCCTGCCTATTCTGTCCACTGCATTCTGCCCCCCCCCCCCATTTCCCCCCCCCCACTGCTTTTAATTTTGCCAACATATTGAAACAGCCCCACCGCCTGTTTCTGTCTTCGGAAAGGGCAGGAAATGATCTGATGGCATTGCCATCTCTGAGCATCCCCACGGCGGGCCCCACCTGTCGACCCAGCAGAGGAGAAGGCCCGGCAGCTGCTGACCGGCTGGGGGAGCAAGAAGGAAGGGGATTCTGCTGCCTGCCTGGTCTGGCACATCCCTCCCTTCTTCCCAGCCAAAGGGGCACTCCGGGGTCTGCCAGCCCTCCCCAAACGCAGCACTTCAGCACGTGCAGCAAACAGCCTCCTGGCCTCTCTCCAGAGTCGTCTGTCCAGGGAGGGGGGGTGCCCCCCCACCCCTCTCCCCAACTGAACTGGCTTGTAGCTGCCCTCCTGGGGGGCTCAAGCTCATGGCAGGGGTCCTGCTTCCCAAGAGAGTGGGGAGGTAGAGGTTGGGTGTGTGTGTCTCTGCCCTCTTCCGTGGGACACCCCAGCCTCCTCACTCTGGCCGAGGGGGCAAAGGAAGAGCCTCCTCAACCCCCAGGCGCCCCATCAGCTGGGCAAAGCCTCCCTCCACCCGGCAGTAGGCCTGTCAGGTTTCTCGCTGCCCCTGGCATGGACGTTCACCAAGGGCCCCTCTCCCCCCTCCCCACGCACACAAGGGCTGCCCCAGAAAAGCTTTGCACAAGTAGCTCAACTGCCGGGAGCAGAGACAGCCGCCGTGGGCTGCTCAGGGAAGCCATTTGCCCCAAGCAGTAACTCCAGAGTCATCCCTCCTCCTCCTCCTCCTCCTCCTCCTCTCTCTTTCTGTAATGCCCTGAAGAACATGCCCCCCCAACCCCAACCCCGCTTTCACAGGGCTTCTGCTAACAAGTCACAAGGTTCATCCCAGCGGGCACCCGCTTCACAGGAAATGGAGAAAGCGGCACCTCCTGTTGAAACATTTGGAGCTGGGCTGACGGGAGGCCCTCCCTTGCCACGTCCTGGGGGGGGCGCTCGGTCCCAAACTGGCCCTCAGTCTAGCGATCAGTGCAGCTTGCTACCCTCTAGCGGCAGAAGACCCAGGATCTTTGCAATTCCCTAGGTTTGGGGGGGGGCGCGGGCGCACGCACGCACGCATGCGCACACACACACACAGAGACAGCAGGAAAGCCAACCCTGGAGAAGTTCACCCCCCCCGCCTCCACCCCCAAGCCGTAGGCATCCAAGCAGGAGGACTGTTTAAGACAGGAGGACTCTGCTTAATCTCTTGCGGCCCCCAGAGGCCTCTTGGCCGCATGGCTTCCCATCTCAGGCCACGGGAGGGAGCGGGGAGGGACCCTGCCTGCCACAGGAAGGGAGATCTTGGGCTTTAGATCATCTGGGTGGAGGGAGGAGCAAGGCAATGCAAGGGGAGGGGAGGGGAAGCACCGGATGTCCAGCCACAAGGCCTGGGCAGATCAAGGGCCTGTTGCCTGACCTATCCACGGCCTTTTCCAAAAGACCAAATTCACCCTCCTGCCTCAGGCTCGGTTGCCGCTCTTCCGTCTCTCCCGTCCTGGTGAAAGCAGAGACTCATTTCTGGACCCTCCTCCCCACATATATCCTACTGGATTTTCAGAACCATTTCCCCAGGGGATCCGAGTCTGCATGGAGTTCTCCCCAACGTGTCCATTCGTTATTGACAACACACATGCTTTAAGCGCTTGGGGGGGGGGGGGGAGACAAGCAACAGACTTTGCTTTGGAGGAGGAAGAAAGCAGAGGGATCGCAGCCCCCTGGGCGGCATCGTGGCTGGGGAAGCTCACGGGAGGCCGCCTGCATTCCAACGCAACCCCAGCCCAAACGCTGCCGCCTCCACGCCAGCCACCGAGTCCAACTCGCCCTTGCAGATGTTTACAGAAGACAACATGATCAGAGCCTGGAACGGCGAGCCACAGGTTGGGAGGGGGGGGGAAGGGAAGGGATCTTTCTCTCCCGAGCAAAGCCCTTGCTTGGACTCATTGTGCAGGATCGCCCCGGGAGCGCATGGAGGAAAGGAACCCTGTGCCGGAGTCTCCCTCTCGTGCCTCACAACCCCCACCCCCATGGCCTGGGAGGGGGCAGGAAGATAAGAGCCCTGAGCTTTGCTCCCTGTCATGGAGACCTCCCGGGCCAGACCTCCTCCTCCTCCTCCTCTGCAGAATCACACCCAAGCCTGGGAGGGCTCCGTCCTGGGCCATGTCCCATAGACAGAGCCCGCAGCGACCCTGCAGCATTGGGTGGAAGGTGGTCCGGGGGCGGGAATGCCCAGGGAAGCCCCTCCACCCTCAAAAAGAAGCCCCCCCTCCAGCGTTTCCAGGGAAGGTTCGACATTTTACCTGGCGGGCAGAAAGACGCTGGTGTTGCTGAAGCTGGAGTCGCCGGAGGCATCCAAGCAGCCTGTGGAGAGACAGGTCAGTTAAGGTCGCTCGTGGCACTGCCCGTGGGGCACTGGAGGGGGTGGCCCTCACTCCCCACACAAAAGACCTAGCCAGCCCCGAGAGAGAGAGAGAGAGAGAGAGAGAGAGAGGTTTCTATGGCCTCTCAAATCCTGGCATCAAAAAAGTCACAGTAAGAGCCAAACAGTGGCTGCCCTTCCTGACCCCAACCTCCAGAAAGTGGCCAAGAAAACATGGGGGGGGGAGAGAGAGCATGTCTGGAAAGCAGAACTCACCCACTGGGGGCCCCTCCTGCTTGGCGCCCGGCTCGTCCTGACCGGCCTCCCCCTGCCCCAGGGCCACAGACGGCCTGCTCTCCTCCAGCTCATCATCTTCAGCCGTGACCAGCTTCATGAGGCTCTGGTTGCACACGTTGGCCACCTCTTTGATGTCTGCACTCCACGGAGGTAAGGAATCTCCATGCGCCCCCGCACCAACTGAGTCGCCAACCCGGCAGAATCACACAGTGGCCCCCCCAGCACCAAAGCCAGGCCCCACCAGTTTTCATGGGATACTGGAGGTCGCCAAACCCGGGTGGATGTCACCCACAGCGCCAAATCCTCAGTCAAGAGCCCCCCAGGAGAAAAACCACCACCACCACCTCCACCTTCCTCCGGAGCTTCTCCTGACCTTCTAATCCTAGGCAAAGTGCCCTCCTTTTCACCTGAAGGCTTAGGATGGAAGATCATGGGGGAGAGAGGAAGAGGGGGAGAGAGAGAGAGAGAGAGAGAGAGAGAGAGAGAGAGAGGCCTCTGTGGCAAAGGATACTCTTCTTCCGGTCATCGTAGGAAAGGCACGGCAGGACTGCAGTCAAGATCCCTGAGGAGTACGGCAGCATCACCCGGCCGGCCAGCTGGATGAACTCGCGCATCCAGCACATGGCTGTCACCTGGATGAGGTCATCTGCCACCCAAGGAACAGAAAAGTGAAGTAGGGGTGAACTGCCTGCCTGGAGGACCGGAAGCCGTCTCCCCCCCACATCCTTTCTTTAGGGGAATGTGCTGAAGAAGGGCTTCACAAAGCAAAAGAACTGTGTGTGTGTGTGTTTGTGTGTATCACATCCTCTCCCAGGGTTTGCATTGCTCAGCAAGAGGGGACTTAGGTATGAACTCAAACCAATTGGTAGGGGGTGGGAAATGTTCCCTCGCTAAAAGGTGGATGGAGGGGAGGCAGAAGCAAAGAGGCAAGGGCGACGCGGCCAGATCCTCCAGCTCATCCAGACTCCACTGGAACCGGAAGGAAAGTGACAGCCACTCACCCGAGGCCTGACAGTGAATCACCAAGATGTTGGCCATTTCAGCAAACTTGACGCTGGCAGGGTTCTTCTTGATCTCTTTGAGAAACTCCCCCAGGACCACTTCGCACCTACACGCGAGGAGGAAGAGCCAGAAAGCTGAGTTCTCTCTCTCTCTCCTCCCTGGACCCCAACAGAGCATAGAGGTTAAAGGTAATCCCGTTCAAGTCCAGGCAACACTTTCCCAGCAGACCGCCAACAAGGACATGGTTTCCGAAGGGTCCCGTGGGGGAAACGGGAAGCCTCGCTCCCTACTTGGAGGACGGAGGAAGTGCCCAGAGGGAGCCCTGGAGACTTTGGCCTCTGGCAGGAAGGAGGAGAAGAGGCAGGTGCTTCAAAATGGTCCTGCTGGATCAGGCCAAGAGGAGACCAGTGAGCACAGCGCCCTCGTTCTAACACCAGTGCTGCCATTTCTTCCCCCAGTGCTCCAAGTCGCTTGAAGCAAAGTGGAGCAAATCCTGCCCTGACAGGAGAGGATGGTCCCTGTGCAATGGCCATTTGCCCAGGGAACCTCCGAAGCTGAAACCAGAAGTGGGCCACGGCGGGCTTCCAGATCTCATGGGGGAGCCCCAGGAAGCCAACGTTGCCTCTGGTGAGCCATGGTGGGAGCTGCAAGCCAACCACACGTGGCATTTAAGCCACAGCTTTGCACAACACTTGCACAAGGAGTCCACAGCCTCTGGCCCATGCACACTTCTATGCAGCCACGAGACCAGAAAAGCTTCTCCAGCAATTCATATATGCAACTTCTTCAGTCAGCTAATGCAACACCTCCTCATTAACCATAACTACTGTCATTATCAGAGCAGGCAACTTTAAACCATGGTTACTGAAACCAACCACCATTAGTGCTGATCACCATTTCCGGTCCCGAGAGACAGGAGGTTATCCAAAAGCAGAAGGGAAAGCTTTCCTCCACCTCCCTGAGCAAGAGGAGAGAAGGCTGAGCGAATCAGGGGCAAAGGTTCACTGTGGCTTGTGCTGAACCAGCCTTTCCTGCGACACAGAAACAGGGTCGCCAGCGGCGGAAACCACACTCACATTTTGCGGATCTCCTTGCTGCTATCGCCCAAGATCTGAAAGAGTCCATCTAGAATCTCTGGCAGGTAATCCAGAAGATTAATATCAGGCACTGACTCCAAAACCAAGATCTAGCTCAGAGGAAGAGAGAACAGAAAACAAAATAAAATGAAACAAAACAAACAAACAAACCAAGAAGCGACAACACCAACGTGGCAGGAAACAGGTCGCCCCTTCGCTGTTCAGGCTGCAACCATGTCAGCGACCGGCAAGAGGCATTCACGGAGGTGAACCAGGCGGAGACTTTTTTTGGGGGGGGGGGGAGAGGTTGTAATCCTGCAAGAGCAGTCGCCGCTCTGCAAGAACACTCTTGGGCAAGTTGGCTTCTGAAGGCGAGAGGCTGCCGGGGTGCCCCAGGCTCTCCTTTTCTGCCCTGATAGCCGGGCCGAGGCCCCGGGAAGGAACCCTCACTGGAAGGCGAGAGCAAGCAGCCACCAAGGGGCCAAGGGTCCTCCCGGCACTCGGCTTCTTCCTTTGATCTCCCTTTTTAAAGAAGCCGAGTGTCCCTGGCTGCTTAAGAAGTTCAACCAGCCCCTCGGCCACGCCTGCTCCCAGCCCCTCGCAGGGGGAAAAGGGCACCAGAGGCCCTGCTCCCCAACAACCAACGCCAGCTGGGTTTGGCCCCCAGGGCACCAGAAGACGCCTCCCTCCAGGAAGCGCCAGGGAGTCCAGGAGGCCCGCCCAGCATTTGCAATGCCCTCAGCATTTGCAAGCTCCTCTCCAGGCCTTCAAGGCACGCCCGGGAATGCCTTCTGCTCACCCCGGAAAGGGGAGGGCGCCCCCTCCATGCTCGCACTCACCCAGGAAATGATGAACTGCCTGGCATACTGGTTGTTGGAATAGATGCGCTCCCGCAGGAGGGGGATGAAGCTCACGAGGTCAAACTTGTTACTCTCCGTCACGATATCCTGCAGAAAGGCCAAACCACCACTGAGGGGGAGGAGGAGGAGGAGGAGGAGCAGAAGGGTGGCCTTCCCACCCAGGCGTCACCCTCCGCTCCCCCTCAGCTGCCCCCTCGCTTGGAAAGGAGTAGGAAACGGCAGCCCTCCAGGTCTTGGGGGTGGTGCAATTCTCTCTCCCTCCCCCCCCCTTACAAAGCTGCGAGGCTGGCTGGCACTGACAGGAGTTGCAGGACAAAACCAATTGGTGGAGGGCCATCCCTGCCCGCCCACCGGCTGGAGAAGGCGGCATAACCCCCTAGCTGCCTGCGAGGGCCCGTCACCCTTCCTGTCAGGCAGGATGAGTCCCGTGGGCTTCCCACTTGGTTGAGGAGAAGGCAACCAGTGAGGTCACAACTGTGAGGGCTCTCTGTCTCTGCATTTCTTGCCTCCCTCCCTCCCTCCCTCCCTGTCCCCCCCCCATGGCTAATCCTTTACTTCATTCTCCACCCCAAAACCAGCCCCACAGTGAGCCACTGGTCAGCCCCCTGGAACAAATCTCTTTCTGTAACTCAAACCGACAGCAGCTCTGGGAGCAAAAAGCTGGCTCCCCTTTACATGTCCCATTCCTTGACCGTCCCCCCCCTCCTACTGAGAACAGACCCCATGCCTTCCACTCTCCTTTGGATGGAGGTTTTTGGGGAAAGCCCCCCCCCCGCACCCCCACCCCCTTGGTTGCACATGACAAGAAAGGTGAGGCCTGGAGAAAAGGCAGCTTGGGTCTCCCCAGCCTCCAAGCCATCACCTACATCAACACGCAGATAAGCACCTGCATGCTGCAGCTGCCCTGGGGTGTGTGTGTGTGGAGGATTTGCCTTGGTTTTAAAAGCTGCTCTTGCTCATTAAAAGGAAAGACAACAAGCCCCCGAGGCCACTCTGCTGGCCCTTCTCCCTCTGGGGTTGATTCCTCCCTCACGGCACGCCCTTGGGAAGAAGCCTCTCCCTGCCAAGCAGTGGCCTTAGTCCTTCCCGGCCAAGCAACCTCCCCTTGCTTCCCTAAAGCACCCACCTCCACTGAGAAAGAGCTTTTCTAAGCCTGGATGGCTCCAGATATTCTCAGCAACACCTCCCATCACCCCTGACCGTCCTCAGCCAAGCCGGCTGGGGTGTGCCTTTCAGAGAGGCTCAGGTGTGTGTGTGTGTGTGGGGAAGCAGCTTTAGATAACACAACTTCCTCTGTAAACAAGGAAGGTGTGCCAAGGAACAATGTTAGTGATGCATGGTTCTTGCTGTTTATATTTTGAACCCTTCTGCTCTTACTTCCCACTTTTTAAATACCATACACTACATTTCTGTTTCCCTTCCTTAGCACAGAATGAGAAATTTGTGACTGGTGGAAGGGGGATGCGGCTACTTCCACCCACCAAACCTATCTGTGTCCAAGCTCAGCTGAACGCTATCAGTTCTGAATTCTTCCTGGGATCCTTCATCAAAAGCCTTTCTCTTCCCCACTGTTCAGAGACTTTCCCTTGATTCCTTTCAGTAGATGTTTCTGGCTGGTCTTGAATAAAATCTTGAGCTAAGGCCCTGGGAAATTCCTAAACCCACCAGCACTAACAGTCCACTCTTCAAAACCTCTGTTCGCCTTCATTGCCAGCCCTGGAAGGCCTCATATATCAGGCACTGGAGAACAGACTCATTGCAGGATGCCTGCTCTTTCATGCCCTCTGGCCAAAAGGAGGGGGACTCATTGCCACGTCGATTCCCAGATCCCACCCAGCATGCCACCGAAACCACAAAAATGGGAGGACAAAATGAAGAGACAGTGCGTCCCTCCATCTGAGATACATTTCTACCACATGCTCCTCTTCAGTCAATAAGAAGAGAGGTACCTTCAGAAGCCGGTCCAGGAGTTCAGAACCACTTTTTACGTTTGGATCCGGATCTGCAGCAAGCTTTTAATAGAAGGAAAAGAAGGGAAGAGAGAAGAAAGTATTCTGGCTAAACCAAGCAGGTAACACTTCAGTGCTGAGGAGAGGAAGAGGTCACCAATTTGGGCGACTACCCCAATTCCTCTCCTCTCCCTCTCACCCCACCCCCCACCTTATTCCACCCCAGTTGGGAGGCTTCTTGTCTGACACTCCAGAGGGACTTGGAAGACTGGGGAAATTCTCGCTGGTTACAAAGATAAAATCCAGCCCCACCTCTCACTCAGCTTTGGGACAGATGCTCACTACAGCTGCTCCCACCCACTTGTGGCATCTTTTTATGCAACCAAATATTTGAGAGTTCCTCAGCCGGAGCGAACAAGAGCCTCCCTACTAGGAACCCAGAATGTTTCAGGAGAAGAAGGCAGAACGTGGAGAGCCTCCTCAGGGAGACTCCTACGGAGATCTCCACATAACTCAGCTCTAACAAGGGAAGAGCCAGGAATCAGCCGCCAGGCTCCAAGGGGCTTTAGGGTTCCAACAGTCTTGGCTGAACACGCTTCACACAGGCGCAGAGAACGGGGAAATCCCATTACCTTGCTCAGCCCATCAAAGAGCACATTGAAGTGGGGCAGGACGGAGCCCCGGGCCACCTTCACAATGTTGTAGAGGGCCTCACAGGCATAGTAGCGCAAGCGGCTGTCAGCGTCATTGAAGCATGTCAGCACTGGCTCAATGAGCTCCTTCAGATACAGCCCCGAGTCCTGGTAAGCAAAGGGCAGAAGAGTCACTCTGGCTCAGAGCTGACTCTAGTGTCCAGATGCCTACAGGTGCCAAGCAGATGTCCGGGAAGCCAAGATGTCCTGAGCACAACCTTAGCAGCACCCTCCCACCTCTGTGCCCTTCCCCACCCACCCCAGTGCAGCAACAGGTACACGGGATCTGGTCCAGGACACATTGCTGCCTGAAGGAGAGCAGCCCGTGAACGCACACAGCAGCCACGGCTGGCCACACTGTTTCGGCATTTGAGGAAGAAAAACCTACAGATGCATCTGTCATCCATATCATTATCTCAAATTCAGTCACTCATGGCTTGCTATCCTTCAGCGACCCCCAACAGCAGCTGCCTGAGATAGCTTTTTCCTTTCACCCAGTGGTAGAGCCAGTTCTGAGTACCACCAATAGCCTTCTCAATCTTCTTTATGCTGCTTAAGCCTGATTTAAGGATCTTTAAAAATATCCAAGTTCACAGCTGCCACTACCTCTTCTAGCAGTGAAGTTCACAGCTGAACAAATTGTTCCTCAAAAAAGTATTCCTCTTCTGCATCACCCATCATTCAGCTTCACAGGAAGACAGCAAATTCTAGCAAGGTAAAAAGGACGACAGTCCACCACAGATACTAACTACGCTAGCAGAAGGCATTTTAACACATGCAGGTTTTTTCTCCCTGTAGCGCATGTTGTCAGTTTTCCTCAAAGGGAACCTTTTCCTACCAATCCTTTCACAATAAGCAAAGGTTCCTTTCAACAACTCCAATTCCAACAGTATGGCCAAGAAAACAGAAAGACTAGAATCCACCCCTATTGTTTCCCCAACTCCTGAAACTGGCAAAATCACAGAGCCCTATTCGGTATGCAAAAACACCACAGACAGGCTATGCACCTCACTCCCAGAGTCACTCCCCTTGCTCTTTCTGCCACCGTTGCTCTGTGGGGCATCACCAGCCGTGGAGAGCCACGTGTATTCAGAGGCCTTCCTTCTGCCTTCCCAGAGGCAAGCGACTGACTGACCACGGTTGCGGGTGAGCCAAACCACCCTTCCACCAAGCAAGCTGCCCCATAGTCAACAGAGAGGGAGCCGGAAGCAAGGGCAGCCCTTACCTTGCCGAGCGCGATGGAGCAGGCAGCCAGGCCAATGAGCCCCCCTTTCCGGCTATGGGGGTGCTGGGAAAGGGCAAACTCCTGGGAGAGGATCTGGATCACGTGCTTAATCTGAGCGGTGCTGTTCTGAGCCACGAATTCGCGCACCAGCCTAGGAGCAAAGGGCAGATGTGGCCCCGTGAATCCCCGGGGAAGGTCCCTCCGCCATCGGAGCTGGCCCAGCCCTCGTTCAACCCAAGCAGCAGCTGAGCACCCATTGGGCTCTTCCTGACCCCCTCCGACCCCCCCATCCCCGAGGGGCCCGGCCCGGCCCACCTGCAGCTCCCTGGGGTCTCAGGTCCACGGGAGTGGGGTGGGGGGTGGCCTTCCCCTCTCGAGCACGGCTGAGCCGCTGCCTTGCCCTCCCTCCGCGGGGTGGGGAGTGGCTGAGCCGGGCAAGGAGGGGCTCTGGCCTCCCTCCCAGCCTCGGAGCCCCCGCCGTCTCGGGGCGCCCCGAGGCCTCTCTGGGGGAACCGAGGCCGGGGC